GAACGATTATCCGCACCCAACGCACGACGACGAACCTCTTCATTACTCACCCGGTGTTCCCACCAGATACGAGCAATGCTTCGGAGACATCGGTGGTCAAATACCGAAAGTCGATTAGCACCCTCAACGCGGAGGGGCCGGGTCTCGCAACCGGAAAGGAGAACCGCCGCGATGTACACCCTTCTCTTAAGGGACAGTTGGATGTCATGGTGGCGCCACAGGTGTCGCAGGTTGGTGAAAGCTGCTCTAGCTTTCGATATTCGTGATGTGATCTCCCCAACACCCCCACCAGCTGCGATCAAGCTCCCGAGGTACTTAACGCTCTCAACTACTTCCAGCTGATCACCACAAAGGGCAAGTGCAGGTACAGGCTCCTGCCAGTCTTGAACAAGCACTTTGCACTTGGAAGGTGCAAAGCACATACTATACCTGGATACCTCTATCGCCAAGCGGTTCAAAGCGTTTTGGACTGTCTGTGTGTTGTCTCCGAGCAAGGCGATGTCATCGGCATATTTCAAGTCAAGGACTCTGTTCCCTGGGAGGAGTTCGACTCCTGGCGTAGGAGTATGCAAAAGTTAGACTCAGTATTCAGTATTGGCTTCAGTTGGTGCAACTCGCCTTCCAGACTGCGGCTTAAGGGATGAGGATTGCCGATGGTTAGAGATGCTGATAGATATGGCTCAGAATAGAAGTCACTGGCCCGATTGTTGTTAGGTTTTCTACGTCCAAACCCCATTTCCCATACCAGATAGAAATCTCAGAATTTGTACGGTGAAACTAACAAAGACATATTCATTCATTTGTTCCCCTAGTTTTATGTTTTCTTCATTTCCTTGCATTACTCCGTAACCTTTACTACCTTTTTATAATTGTTGTTGTTGCGTTATTACCATGCTTCTGAGCTTTCGAGCTAAACCAGGTGTTTTTTCTCTGGGGTTTTCGTGTATAGCTAACCACATAAGTGGAAAGCCTGCATGCTACCGGTAGGACGACTGGTTCTAAAGCCGCATTACTAGTTGCTCACTAGTCCATTATATTTCAGGAACACGTAACAGATAGCTTGCTTACTTGACTTTACCATGGCTGGTTCTGTGGGACAGATAAGCTAGCTTCATGAATAACACACGTCGCT